GTATTTTTTGAATCGAATAACATTGGTGCCTAATAGATATGACCTCACATTGTATGATGCTCAGATTTTATACGAAATCAGATGGATTTCACTTAGGATTACTTCACTAAATACAGTACACACAAACCAGAACTGAATAGCTTGAAATTATTGTCTATCAACAGCTTTGACCTGCTGATAATAAAATTCAACTACTATACGAGCTGCTAGCTTTTTGAGACTTTCAAATAGCAAATTAAGATCATACCCAACCGAGCGAAACCAATTGAAATAATAATTTCATTTTATTTTAATTTTAATCTTAAATACAGAGGTATCGAAGCAGCCAGTAACATCTTTGTTGACGTGGTTATTTCAATGTAAACGATACTGTGGTCGTTGTAATACACAAATACAGTACCGAGAATTCATTATCTTCATAAATATAATTGCAGACTTGGTGACCATTTAAGCGTTCCTTGGCTTGGTCAACAAATTAGAACATTAAGGGTATTAATGACGCTGTTTTTGACATTTAAAATGCAAGGTGTAGTTATAATAGGCTACATAATGACATATAATTTGCCCCCGTGGATACAGAAACCAAACATGTTAATGTGTGTTTCTCGACAACTATGTCAAGATTAAACCTCAGGGATATCCCTGCAGCATTTACAGATTAGGGATGGAGTGGAAAAACTCTCAGGGAAGACGGACGTCAAGTTCCCATTAGTTTTCATATTTTAACTCTTAACATATTCAACGTTTTGCTTATAAAAGATGATATGATTAGCTCTCAAACCTTTCTTTAGAAATATTGCTTAGTTAAGATGTTATATGACAGCTGTTAATGTTCAATATTAACTACATTATTACAATAAACAAGACACACGGATCTGGATGTACCAAAGCGTCGGGTACGATACGAGCGGCGAGCGGTGAACGGCAAGCGGCAGTGGTGGCTACGATACAAGGGGCACATTTTATAGCTCATCAAATTTCCCCAATTGTAGGAGTCAGTTTAGTCGAAAATGGCAAACTGTGCTTACCTGCAGCAAGACTTATTGCGACTATTCTTGCTATCTAAAAATTGTTCGCCTTTAAAGAAAAACTTTGGTTTTAGAAACAACTTATCCTTTACTTCGTCCCATACTTTTCGGGTGACATGAGTGTTTTAAAAATTCCGTGCTGGTCATTCCACAAACATTCCCTAGACTGCACCTCACGTATCGACCCGTATCGGATGTTTGCTGCTGTTTCTCTGTCATTTTAGGCCGAACTGAAGCATGACTCACCTGAGCGGCGAGCGGCGTTTTCGCGAAAATCGGTTTTGACTTGGAACCATGAGCGGTGCCGCTTATACCGTCGCTCGCCGCTCAGACGTATCGTGGCCACCCTCAACAAAACGCAACTATGAGAATGAGACCCGATGTCAGAGCGGCGCCGCCCATGCCGCTCGCCGCTCGTATCGTACCCGGGGCCAGTGACACTTGAGTAGTTTAGTATAGGAGTTTGTTGGATAACATCCATCTGCCCAGTATCCAGGGTCAAGTTTCACTGTTGCTGCGCCCACAACTACATTACCATTGCGCCAGTTTTCCTCATATTGCTAACCATCCAATCATGCTCTTATTAGTATGTGCATAACCAAGTTAGGGAATCGTTAAATTAATTACTTTCCTATTACATTGTATATTGTGTAGACGAAATTATTTGTTGTTCATATTTTATTGAATAACTGAAATATTACGAGGGGACCCGTGCGCATATTGTGCGGTTTAATAGAGTTCAGAACTTAGTGCAAACCGAATAATGCAACACCCTTTTACCTCTTAAAGATTGTGTTTGTTTTATGTAAAAAACTACTACCTAATAAAAGAAATTATATTTGTTGGTTTTATAAATATACCAGAACGAGTTATCAACTTATCTCAATCAGGTTACGATAATCATCCAAATTTGTTTAGGTCATTTAAAATCCATTTTCATAAACTGTTTCGTCTATTGCCTAAAATCTGATAGTGGTTAAGCATTCAGCTTAAGGATTAACCGTTACGAAATTACAGTTAATATTATAACCCCATTATAGAGATATTAGGCATCACCTGATCTTTGGAACTCTAGAAAAAAATCAAACGCCGGTGGGGCGAAGCCCTAAATTATATTACCTTTTTAGTTACGACCTCAGCGAGATTATAAGCTTTAAAATAACAATACTAACTAATTATTTACTTTCCGTTAAAATGACGCCCTAATCGTAAAAATCGGTTAAGTAGGACGGCCAAAAAAGGGTTAACAAGAAAACTATTATTGTATTGAATACATCACTGAGTGAATGGAGTGAATGGAGTGAGTATGGAACACTTGAACTATTGGAATATAGAGACCTTCAACTGATATGGTAACCAGAATGCTACCAGTTTGTTGTCATGCTAGTTAATCATGCAATTTGTTTAAGATGTACTGCCTAAATAATAGGAAACATTTGTGTTCATTGAATTGGTAAATGTGAAATTCAGGGACTAAATATAAATATAATTCTTGTGTGAAAATGTGGGGTGAATCAAATAATAACACCGTAATATTGATTAAGGGAACGTCCCAGACAGCACACTTTATCCCAGGGACATCCCATAGTAGTCCCATATGTCCTGAGAATGTCTCGGGATATGTGCGCTATCCTTAGGATATCCCGCAAAATCCCGGGACGAGTACGAAATCCACAGGATATCCTACAATATACCGTAATGTCCCGGGATTTGTAAGTTAACCTCAGGATATCCTGTAAAGTCCCGGGATATGTACGAATGCCATAGGATATCCCAGAATGTCCCGGGACATGTACAAAATCCACTGGATATCCTGTAATGTCCCGGTAACAAACTGAAGAAAAAAAAATACTACCACTGATGAAATGTACAGTATATCTAAATTTTAATGTTCAACAAGGCCAATATATAATAATTTGTTTTTTTCACTAGTGCTTTCAGAAACTTGGTTTCCATCTTCAGGCTGTGTTTACACTAGTACAAAAAGTAAATATTTACTTAATAAATTAATTTTAAACAAAGTTAAAACAGATGATTTAAAGGATATTGGAAAAATAAAAAATAATATTAGAAAAATTAATCTTTTGAATTTTGGATATGTTACAGTGTTGTTCTTGATGTAATTATTTTCAGTAATTCCGAATTTATAATTGGGCCGTCTTCATTATTTAACAAATAATTTCGGTCAGTTTTTTTTTTCTAAAAATAAGATTCCCACGCATTAAGAAGTTGAGGTTTTATAATTTATTTTAAAAGTTTAAGGTTTCCCAGATTGAAAATATGTCTTGTTAATACTATGGCTAGCAAGGGTTGACTTTACTTTACTGACATATTACTACCACTGAGTTCAGGAAAACTAGAGTTCTATCATAGTTGTGTGTAATGTGAATTTAATTCTATCTTTAAATTAATAAAACAACAAAAAACTAATTTTAATCATATAACAATCAATTATTACAGTGCTAATCTAATGGTGATAAATAATCTATATTCAAATACCAGTATCCTCTCCAACTACCAGAAAAACAATTCAACTACTTGAGGCCTAAATAGATTAACAGAATCATATATAGCCTAGGCCTATATTGTAGTATCAAAAATATTTTAAGTATTGCGACCATTTTGCAACTGTCGGCTACTCTTTAACCACTTGAAAACACCCTTAACCAACAAGCGCAGATAGCTCAGGAGGTAAGGTAAGAGGCTCACAAAGCGAAGGTACCAGGTTCGAAACCCGTCTGGGCCAAAAACTTTTTTCTCGTTTTTTTCTTCAAAATTTGTGTTTATTAACTATTTAATCAACTTACTAAACTTATAATTAAGCTTTTCATACTAAATCTATATTATTTTGTGTTTTTATGTTCAGGCCCAGACCACACTTTATCCCAGGGACATCCCATAGTAGTCCCATATGTCCTGAGAATGTCCTGAGGACTACCCTGGGATGACCTCGGATGTCCCACGGATATGCATGTGAGCTTATCCGTAGGACATCCCCGGGCGGGGACATTAGGCATTCCTGTGGATATCCTGTGATATCCCAAGTTGACCATAGGACCACTATGGGATATCTTGCATATCCTGTCGCAATATCCGTGGGATGTCCTGAGGAGAAAGTGTGCTGTCTGGGGTTAAAAGAGGTTTAATACAATAGGTTCTTGCTGGTTCTGTATTCTCATTGTATTTCTTGTGAGCGTTAAAAAAACTATTCACTATTGAATATATCATAAAATTGTGGAGAAAGTCAGTAAACGAACAAAACATATTGGTAGCACGTACATTTTCAATATTTTACGGACTACCATCATTTTGTACAAACACTCGTATTACCATTGCCATTTTCAAATTTAAGAGTCATCGTGTCTTTTTTTCAGTTTGCCTCACCAGTGTTGTCCGCATACAATTACGAAGATTTAGATTTAGATAAATAAGTGTTATAATTGATAATTCTGAATAAAATTGAACTTTTACAATTTACAAGGACAACTTCTAATTCATCATATTTTTATGTTTAAGCTAACAGAGCTATTAAAGACTATAAACAATAAATAGCACAAAAATAAACATCATTTATATTCTTGGACTTCCGAAAAATGTTGTAAATTAATTGGGATTTTTTCAGTAGAGGGCTGAAACTATAAAGTTTCCCTTCACGATTAGTTTTGTGATTATTTTTGTTCAGTAAATAGAAACAATCGTGTGAGTAAAGCTACAAACTAACCTAACCTAACCTAGACTGTGGTTATTCCACTGTTGAAATTGTTGCGGCCCTCGTCTGAAAAAGGCCAATTAATTTAGTATTTAACTTATTACTAATGAAATAAATACTGCGCATACACGAGACAAATTAAATCACTAAAATCGTCAACATCTAATTTAAAATGTGATTTTCAAGATGACATAAAGTTGCTCTTCGTGTAAAATATCAAATGTTTATGTTGTTTATTGTTTACAAATGCTAGTTTAAGTTACCTGTTGTTAGGTGAGCAGCTGATGATGGTCAGGTTGCCACTGCACTCACACCCCGGCACCTAACTGATACAGTGATAACCTTCACCCCCCACCCCTCTCACTACGACTGCGCGAACCTCTAGTGCATTGCGCACGCGGCCTTGGACCATTGACTCGCCACGACTTACTCTACGTGATCAAGTTTAGGGCAGTAAAATAATTAATTTGGACCATACGTTTTATACAGGGTATACCGGAACTCAACCAATATTTAGTGTATTGTTCCTGAGTAAGAAACAAATATAAATATAATATAGAAATTGTCCGGATATCCTTAGTTATTCACACAGCCGCCATTTTGTTTTTTCACTTATTATATTTTTAAGTGGTTCAAATTCATACAAAAAAATGGTGGCCATTTAAAACTTACGTAAAATCTATGGTTTTTGAGCTATTTAAGAAACAAAATTTTAAATAGCCGCCATTTTATTTTATGAGTTTGAAAAATTGTCATAACTGTTTTGTGGCCTTTTCTATTTGTCATAAATGTTGTTGCAAAGTTTTAATTTAGTATCCTTAACCACGCTTTGGAACAAAGTAATAAGTGAAAAAAACAAAATGGTAGCTGTGTGAGTAACTATGGACTTCCGGACAATTAAAATATGATATATAGATATATTTCTTACTCAGGAACAATGCCCTGCAATATTGGTAGAGTTCTGGGACACCCTGTAGACTCTCTTGAAGGTGACGGACCGAACCCCAAAAACTCCGGCCGCAGAAACCTACAGACTAAGGAAATTTGCATTTGTCTGTTTGGAGTTTTATTAAAATATTTACCCGAATATGTAAGATATATTTCCCATTTAAACAAGCAGACTATAAGGCCCGCCGCACATTGGAGCGAGGCGAGGTGCAGGCTAGGTGCAGGCGAGGTGCAGGCGGGCGCGGCTGATTCTGTAATACACGTGTTTATATGGAGCACCGCACATTGAGCAGAGGCTGCGCGCAGCCTCCGCGCAGCACAGCTGCAGCCTCTGTCAGGCCTCCGCGGCGTTGTGGTTGGAATACAGTTTTCCTGCACCTCGCTCGCGCCTGCGTTGGTTTTCTAGTGTTTTGTTCGTGAAAGATATAGTAGGAGCATTTTATTCAGATGGCTATAGTTGTTGAGCATTGCATTCATTTTCGCTAGTGGCACTTTTAAGAAAATTATGGATATCATCAAACTGTTGTTTGTTCACACGAAAAAATGCTCGTAAAAAGACCGGTATGGCAGTTAAGTAGTTAAAACATAATCTCCACGACTTAATCTTTTTTCATCTACCGTAATCACATTTCCAAAAACAAATCGTTTTTCGGATAGCGAATAGAGTAAAACTAAATTATTCAACTAACAATTAGAATCAGTAAATGTCAAAAAAGCTTCCCCTACTTCCGAAAGTACGACCAAAGCTAGGAAACCTCTGTCCCGCCTCGCTTCAATGTGCGGTGACACGAAAAAGTCTTCGCTCCCGCCTGCACCTAGCCTGCACCTAGCCTGCACCTCGCCTCGCTTCAATGTGCGGCGGGCCTAAGAGTGTACTAATTATCCATAAGAATAACGTTGGAATTTGAAATTTACGGTTTATTTTATTTTACTTGTAACCTTAATAATTGTAAAACGATGCTTTGAGATTCAAAATTGTTCCTCTTTAGCCCTTCACAATGGCTGTAATGTAGACTGGACATTTTGTTGTTTTAAGGGTAAAAAAACCAACCTGTAAAATCTCTAAACATCCCGTCCCCATCGAGTTATAAGTGTTGTTCCCCACGGACTTGTACCATAAGTGTTTTTAGTCTCAAGAACACCGAAGTTAAAAAGTAATTCGGTCCCGGTCATAGGTCTTACCGTGCTAATTACGGGAATAGCTTTTGGGAAATTAAAATGGCATGATTTTACCCCTTTTAGTAGATGAATAGAGGTAAAATTATGTAGATAGATCCAATCTACCATTTTGATTGCTGTACCCTGGCTGTGTAATTTCTGTGACGGAATCGGAGTCACTGCAAGTTTTGTGAAGCATCCAGTTACGTTTTATCACATGTATCGATATAACAATCACTACAGTAGTCATAATCACCTTTAAGTTCATCATCTTTGATCAGACCTCAAATTACGTCTCCGTTAGAGAAAGTGAAGCCACATCTAGTATTCACGCAATTATAATCATGCATTCAGTTTTAACCATGTTTCATTCATTAGATCGTCTACGTACACACTTCTGTTCTTGCGCAAAACGTCCAGAGCAGTAGGGGTAGAAACGTACGTAGTAAGCTGTAACGAATTACTACCAATCTATAGCGAATCACCAATGGACACGGAAATATTGCTACGACCGGCTGGCATAGCCACAAATTCACATCTGAACCCTTTCAATTATATTAAAAACCTTTCTTTTAGCGAATTTTCCATATAGGGTATAAGCGTTTACTTTACTTTTTCGTTTTGAGGTCACCAGAGGCCAAAAACACCATTCTTTCAAATTCATAAATATATGTATGTGTCCATTAATTTGCCAATTTTGATTAAATTTTGTACAATTGTGTGAACCTACGTATATTCGAACGAGTTCGCGAACCAGCATGATCGGATTATGGGAACGGGGGTTTATGGAGGGATTTATAGGGGGGAAATTGTTTTTCCCATTTTTGACCTTAAAGACGCAAGATTTCATAGATTTCTCTTCAAACCATTTTGTAGAGCTTAAAAAAAGAGATAATTTTGTATATTGAAGCGTTGTTGTATGCCCAACGGTCACGGAGATAATAATAAAAAATAAAATTTAAATTTAAAATTCCCATGTAAATAAATTGTTGTAGTTTGCTTGCTTATGGATATATTTAAATCAAATTTGGCCCATTTTGTTTATTTCATACTAAGCTATCAACATTTTAATAAATAAAGAATATTTTCCCCGTAGCAGCAAACCTAAGTACTCACTAAAATTAATGTTATTTAAATAAGAAATAAATCTGAAACTTTTTAGTGAATATTTTATAAGAAATCAAGCCGGGTAAATGGAAATTCGCTTAGTCTGCAGGTTTGCTGTGGCGAGGGTATTTAAATGGTCGAACTAAAGTTTCAGTGAATTTAGCTAAAGCGATACATATATTGCTGATCGACGATATTCTTGTCATCGAACATTTATTCTGAGGCAGTCGCGTGTAATTTAAACTTGTAATCAACCAAAGCCGTTGGGTGTGAATAAACTCAGAACTCTTGACTGTAATGGATTTGTTTTCATGTATGAATCCAATCAGGTTTATAACTGGCGTTAAATAGTGGTTTGGTGATCACAGAAGTTGAACAGCGCGATCTCACAGAAAGATGTCCCGGGTCCTGGGTTCCTGTCACGTTCCATACCCCACTTTTAGATCAGCTAGAGATTTGAAATTTGATTCTATTGCAAGTCTTGGTCACAACTCCCCTGAAATATTCCAAACATTGTCAATTTCCATTATTAACCACTCCGAAATTTCGAATCCCCCATGGAAAGTGACTTTGGTTTGCGGATATAAACGATTTAGGAACGTGAAAAGACAAACAATATGGCAAAGATGTAGAAAATAATCTCGAAAAATCTAGGTAATTCCTAAAAGTGACTTAAAAAAAAATTAACCCTTTTAAAAATCCAAAAAGGCGGACATCTGAAAACGACATAATATGTTTTTTCGACGGATTCCGGTGACTAAAGGGAAGTTGTATCGTAAAATTGACAGCATTGCTCATTTTTGACGCTCTTTAACTTAGGTGGCGCTAAGTTTTTCAAACATTGGAAGCTTTCATAAACTTTTCAATTGTTTTGACAACCTTTTCTACTTTACTCCAAATTATAGGAAAAATCTTGTAGCTTATAGTATAGTTTATCTGGGGGTTGTTTATCCTTTATTCATGTTGAGTTATAATGATTGTGAATTGGAAGCAATGTGGATTAAAGTTGTAATTCAACATTATCAATGAGAGTGTAAAGGCTGATAGACGACATCGTTTTCATCAGTGGATTTGACAGTTCTGAGGCTTCATAATCCTCTGTCTCGGGTGGTTAGCTGAGAGGAGGCCGGTTGTGGTGGTTGAGTACCACCTCTTTACATCCCCAAATACATTCTTAAAACGAGAAAACTGCAAAAAGTGCTTTCAAGTGTCCGACATCAATGGAGTTATAAAATAATTTGAAAACAAAATGTAAATGAGTTTGGTACAAACGAATGTCTACTGATATGTTACATATTCCTCTAAATATTTGAATACATCGATATTTTACCAAACGACTGTGTATAAATTATGATTTCAAGTATTGCTGTAGCAGATAAAATCTTCAGTTTTGTATACCATTTCGTCTCTCTGATTGATGGCAATCAGAAAGAATAAAAAAATGCAATTCATTAATAGGTGCTGCATGTTATTAAAATATCTATGAAAATATATAGAACAGAATTGGGAATATCTTAATTACAACATACGACGATGTGATTCTCGTATGAACATTATTTTTCCAATAGTCGCAGTTTCATTCTCATTGTTAAAGCACATACTAACTCATAGAGATTTATATAATTCCGGGCTCGTGCCTAGCGACCTTGGACAAAAAATCCTTCCATATTTGGTAGTATTTCAAATAAGATAACAATTCGAACATAATTGTTTCCATTATTGTTATTCATCTCAAGGATTACAAACAAAGTAAGTCCTATCTGTGTTACGCCATCTAGAATATTAAGTGCATTTGACTTGTTTGATTTCTAAGGAAATTTGTTCATTCTAGTTGCGTAAGTCTTTTTTCTCCTAGTCAGAAGGCGTTTGTCCTTAGTTACTTTTTTCGATTAAATTGTTTAGTTTTAGTTTACATGGATAGTTCATTTTCTCAACAAAAAATTGATTAGTTACGGGTTTTTTTATTATTTGCACCGATAAGTAGTATTGTAATTAATATCGATCTTAATTGCTGTAACCAAGGTAATCCAAGGTGTACAGTATTATGTAATTGGCAATCGCAGTAAAATGATTATAAAATCAGGAGACTGCATATCAAGTCTCAACTAAGTATTATTGATCTCAGTTCT